AAGTTACGGACAAGGAAGTTGAACAATGATTGCTGAAACAAGTTCACTTCGCCAATGGTGCAAGATTGTGAGACATTTTTGATGCAAAGACTCGACACGCGCACAAAAGGAGACATATCTGCTTGTTCAACTGGTGCCGTTGCTCTGCTGAGTTTGTTTCTTTGTTTCCCTCCGGGCGACACCCGTCAAGGGTATTGAAAGGACAAACATCTGCTTCCGCGGGCTGGCTTTCTGTCTTTCATTGCAGCTATATCGGATGTTTTCGGGTCTTTTCCGCCAGGATATCCTGCTTGTATTGCATTGTTCATTTGAGTCTTCGCCAACATCAGACACTGCCAGCTGACGTCAGTGGAGTTGACATGAATCAAAGTGCAGCGGTTGCCACAAGCTACTGACAATCAAGAAAGAGTATTGGTATAGGGTTGGCCCCTGTCAGTTTTGCAAGGTGTTGATCAATTCAGAAATACTAACCCGGCTCATGACTAAAGTACATGTACAATATATATATATACATATACACGCCCTTTCTCTAATGCATATATATATACATATACATCTACATTCTAATGTAGACTCTAGACGCCCAATCCAGACTATTGCGACAGTTCAAGGCTGACAAGGCAATTGCATATGTCACAATGGATCGCATGATATCGCGTGATGTTTACATGATTCTCAGCTGCTATTAAATGCTCTGACAGTGCCTCTATCACACTTGACCCTGCCTGTCCCTGTCAGGTCAATGCCCGTGAGACCAGAAACAACTTCACCTGTCAATGATGCTCGCCTCAGGTGGCTGATGCACTGGCAAGTAGCAACAGCAACTCAACGATTGTGATAATGCATATTAACACGAGTAGGACATAGAAGCATGCTATACATACACAATTTGCACAATTATACATCATAATCATATGCACTAATTAAGCTGTGTTATCCCCTTGCACTCAAACATTGGAGCGTTGGACTGTGAGACTCACCAACGATGGCCTGATTGATGTCTTCACCGAAAGGGCAGCTTTCTGGAAAAGTGCCTGGACTGCAAAGCACTATGTTACGTCACCGCTGGACGCAAGGTAGCAGGTACAGCCAAATGGAAAACCGTAAATTAATCCGAAAATGCGCATCCTCTAAGTCTACATTTGAGTGTTCAACCCCGCAGGTGGTGAGTGTCCAAAGCACACGAGAAACCACACAAATATTGAAGCAACTTGAGATCAGAATGAAAGCGCCGTACGTACACTGCTGCATTCGGGAAGGAAACTTCGCCCGGCATTCCCTCCTCCACTTTTCAGGTGGCCGAACTATTGGAGCTCGCTGTGACGTGAGCGCACCGTGGCGCGTGCTAACTCAGATTCTTCCGTGTCTTGTGCAAGCTACACCGCGGCGCCGCAATGTTTTTCGTGCCTGCTGCAAACGCATGAAAACTCTTCTGAATGCGCCTTGGATGACTCTTCTTTCTCGGTCTCACTCTTCAAGTGGCCTAATTGCAGTTTTCAGGCACGTTCAAATGTTTGTGTCATCTCGCGCACACCAAAAGGCTGCCTCTCATGCCAAGGTTGCGTGTGATCCCTAAGTAAGAATTGTTCCATGGTTTCGAGAGGATGCACTGCACTGGCACGTTCTCTGTCATCCCTCGCCTAGAAGCGATCGGGCCTGGCTTTGCAGCAGCATGCTCGTGAATTGGTAGGTGTGTGACATGCACCATGCATCTATGTCGGACCAGTGTTTGCAAACATTCTGAACTCGCCTCGCTGTAGACTTTACGGCCTGACCGAGTTGCTGCATGTCACCACGGAGCCGCAGCCACGGCTTGGCCGTCTGTTCTATAACTTTATGAGCTTCGTGCGATCAAGTTTAGTTTGTGCTCAATAACTGCCCTCTGGCTCGTCTTGAATTCAATTTCTCCTGCAAGACTGCAGGACTGGCCAAAAGCGGCCCAAGTCAGGTCTTGATTCATTGATAGGTTCCCGTGAAACTATCGATGAAACCCAGTGGAGAGAAAATAGAGAAAAAGCATGGTTGGGCCCCCCCTTTTGCAGCAGACTGAGATCAGGGCGCACTGCGGGTTTTGTGACCTAAGCCAAACCACTTGTCCCTGCTGCAGCGGAGTCAGTTAAACTTTTAAAAGTATAAGAGACTGAGAGATGCATGCAGCAAGTGTTTCAACTTGTAGTGAGAAGCGTGTGACAATAGACAAAGCGGTCGTATACAGTACATATGTTACATAGTTACATATGTATGTCTGTACGTATGTAACATGCACGATACAGTTTAAAGGAACACGCATAGTGAAATCAAATTACAACCCCCAGAAGAACTGCCACTGAGCAATGGCACGGTAAGGTGACATGAAACGTGCATGTTGTTTAAAGACGTGCAAGTCAGCCAGCGTTTAATATCAATTGGAGGTCAGCCATGAACATCTTTGATTTCAAGACGGAATGGACTGCCTACAAGCAGCTCGTTGCTGGTTGCTATGGGGCTCAATTTTTGCACAGCAAGCCGTTTGACCAAGTCATGCAAGACCTTGCACACTTGCTTTCTCAAAGGTTGGAGGATGTTTCGGGCTCCTTCGCAAGCTTTGCGAATAGACTTAGGTCCATGGATGTCAGAACAAGGTCGAAAAAGCACCGACGTTTGCCAAGTTGCAAAATCCGTCAAGTTCGTTAAGTCCAGCTTGCTACCTGCCAGGCGCAACTCAATAACCCCATCCGCCTCAAGACAAGGGCCCTGGAGGCTGAGAAGAGCTATGTATATACAGAAGCGGCGTCGCGCAAAGTCTTTGATAAATAAGAAATCAAACATCCTCTCGCAGTTTGACCCGCAACAAGAACACTTACATCCAAATGGTTTTTGCAGGATTGGCAGCAAGTTGCAGCGATCACTCACCCCAAACACTGGTTCTACCAAGGCATTGGTAGGTCTGAAGCTGACCAACGACAAAACGAAACTCCAGCTATACACTTGGGACCGTTATGTAAATCCACCCTACAACCAAAAAGCAATCGCGGCACCTGAAGCTTCCTGTCTTTCAAACATGATACGAGTGGTACCGCTTGCCCCATCTGATCCACGTGGGTTTTGTATAGCTTGACTTTCTGTATTGGGGCGCTCAAATTCAAAGTTCCATGACACTGTCATAAGTCATAAGCAAGGTGGCACTGCGACGCCAGCCTTTGCGCTGGAAATCTTCCGAAGCTGCACCTGAATAGCGCCGTTCTGATTCCTACAGATTATATATAAATACCATATCGTGTTCATCGCTTTTGCTATGTCATGCCGGACATACCATACTATATCCTGCTTTTGCGCCTGGCCTTTGAGGCGCGGCTTCTTGATGCGCAACGACATGGTATCATCCCATGGTTCGGCGCGGGTGCATCCGAGTGCAGGAAGCTCCGACAAGCACGTAAGCAAAGCCTGGAGATACTTGTGCTATGCAAGCGGCAACCAATTTACAGTTGTATATTACCGCATGTTCAACAAGAGCTCTCGCAAACAAAGTCAAGGGTTATGTTGGGCAGTGGCAGCCATACATGACCAACCATCACATATGTTGTTGTGAAAAAAACGGAAAAAAAAAAAGAAGCAAAACAAAAGCAAATGAACATGCAAAAGCAGCGCAATTTGCTTTGTTTTTGCATTTGTTTTGCTTTTTTTTTTCTCTTTTTTCCTGGCACCACTTCTGCACTTATGAGAGCTTTTACCCGTCAGCAATATTTGCTGTACCCTCCTAGGAAAAAGCGGAAAAAAAGCGAAACAAATGCGAAAATAAAGCAAACAAATAAAAGTGAAAAAAAAGCGACAACTACGCACAGCTACATGTTTTTGCCTTTTTGTTTGCTTTACCTTTTGCTTTTTGTTGCTTTGTGTTTGCTTTATACAATTATTTTGGCTCCTTGTATCTATGGCTGGCGTGCCCGACACAAGTCAAGGGACTGCAAACTCAAGTGTGGCAACTGTTGGACTCGATCGGCGATTGGTGCCATTCGGCATCCCTCCTAGCACCTTCTATTCTCCGCAGGTTCATTATCTTTCCGTGATGCGACTCACTGGTACAGTAACACTTAGTACTGCCGCCCTCTTTGAGGGAGCACTGGGCCAGTGTTGCGGCATGGGACTGTGGCATTATATACAGTAACTGAATGCATCGCACAGAAAGTCAAAGAGGGTCGTGATGTCGTGGCTTTCTTATTTCTGAATTGTCAAGAGATGACCCAGCAAGCTAGGGCCTGAGTGCAAATTCGCCTTGAGGACGACTGAGGACTCATTACCTGAACTACCGCTCCCAAGTCGAAAAAGCTCATCAGCATAAAGCAAGCCAAGGACAAGGTTCAACCAGCAATGTGCACTAGCACCAACAATTCGATGAACCAGCAGTGGGCACTGGCATGCTCAGAGACTGGCATGAGAATGGCGAACTCTTTCAACCGAGAAACGCCGGTGACAGCCCATTTCATTCTCCAAGGCCCACCATCTCAAAACAATCGAACTTATTCTTGATATCCAGACCACCCATGTGTGCACGACAAAAATATGCAAGAATTTGTCGGCTAAAAAAGCTTATCCTGAGGGGCGGACCTGCCCACAACCAAATTTGAACCTTACATAATTACTGGCAAGCGTGGGCAGGAGCCATAAAAGAAACTGGTGAGGTTTGCTTTTTTGGTCAGGCATTGCCAATTGAACGGTTCCAGATCCGCATCCCTTTCATGTCTGACTAGGGAGGTAGGGGAGTTCCGGTTCCATTTCCGTTCCGGAACCCTGCAATGGCTCCAGTGGGGTATCTTATGGACATTTGACAAGCCATTGCGCAACACTAAAGAACTTCAGGAGCAAGGACGCTACGAACGGAGCAAAGGGCATCGCTACTAGGAGCAAGAAGCTACTAGGGGCTCCTGGC